GAGGATGAGGAGGGAGGGGGCGGCCGGAGGAGGAGGAGGGAGGGGCGGTGGGAGGAGGGCGGACGGAGGAGGAGGGGAGAAGGGATTACCTCGGCGTGGAGCAGCGCGGCGGCGGTGGACGATGGGTTCGGCGCGGGCGAGAGCGACTAAGAGGGAGAGAGTGAGTGAGAGGGTGCAGTGAACCGCTCTAGTATAAGGTAAGTAAGTAGTAGCGCATTTCAGAGAAACACGCTACTACTAGGGGACTTAGCAGTAGCGCTGATTAGGAAACCGTGCTACTGCTAAGTGGGGCTAGCCATCTACGCCATGTACAGGTATAGCAGGAGCGCGCTTTAGGAGAACGCGCTACTGCTAAAATAGTAGCAGTAGCGCGGTTTATTTAAACATGCTACTACTAAGTAGCAGTAGCGCCCTGTTTTGTCCAGCGCTACTGCTAAGATGTTGTGTATAAGGTTTTCCATAGTAGTGTTTCCTTCTCCTTTTCTCCCTCCACTTCCCTCTTTCCCCCTCCGTTGGAAAGGAAGGGGGGCCGACTAGGACTAGGAGTCCTAGTTGGACTCCCCCACTTGGGCACGCTCTAGGCCGGCCCTCTCCCCTCTCCCTCCTTTATATACGGGGGCAAGGGGCACCCCAAAGCACAACAATTGTTTCTTAGCCATGTGTGGTGCCCTCCTCCACCGTTTACTCCTCCGGTCATATTGTCATAATGCTTAGGCGAAGCCTTGTGCGGATCACATCACCATCACCGTCACCACGCCGTCATGCTGACGGAACTCATCGACTCCTTCGTGCCTCTACTGGATCAAGAGTTCGAGGGATGCCATCGAGTTGAACGTGTGCAGAACTCGGAGATGACGTACGTTCGGTACTTGATCGGTTGATTCGAGAAGATGTTCGACTACATCAACCGCGTTAAGTTAACGCTTTCGCTTTCGGTCTACGAGGGTACGTGGACACACTCTCCCCCTCTCATTGCTATGCATCTCCTAGATAGATCTTGCGTGAGCGTAGGAAATTTTTTAAAATTGCATGCTACATTTCCCAACAGCCGCCGCCAGCGCCGTGCGGGTAGGGCCCGGTGGCCCAAGCCGGCGGTGGCGAGGGGGAGAAGGACGGGGAGGAGGGTGGAGGAGAGGGGAGAACTGGGGTTTCGCCCGCCGCCCAAGGGGGAGGGGCAAGCGAATGGGGGCTGAGGGAAGGGGGAGAGGGGG